AATTCAGTGACGCAAATCGCTGTTACCCTGGCTCAGCGTTCTCCTGATAAGGCTCACAACAGTAACGGCAGCAGGAACTTACTGGAAAGGAGGCAGGAGCCCCAAAATGTGTTCAGAATTTTGGAATCTCGAGTTCCAGTTCACTTTCCTTTCGCAAGACTTGCAGACCCTAAGCTAGTATGGGCCCTCGGCACTAAGCGCAGACGAGCAGCTTTCTGTGCACTGCTAACAGTGGGAGGTCTGGAGCACCACAGTGCTCGAATATGAACTACATATTTTATTTTTAAAACTCAAAATGCCTAAAAACGAAGTAAAACGCTAGTACAGTAATATTTTAGGAAACAGCGTCGCGAACGCACAACGTTCACTCGAAGTCAGTTGGAAATTCTGGAGCACGCTTTCCTGAAAACCAGATATCCGGATATTTTCATGCGGGAAGACATGGCACTGAAGATACAGCTGCCTGAAAGTCGAGTACAGGTACTGTTCGTATCAATTTTCCCACAGCCCTCTCCTCGGGCCAGATAGGCAAGTGGTATAACCCTATCTGAACCATTTCCGTTCCAGGAACTGCGGAATCTCTCTTAGAGCATCAGAGATGACACCATAGAACGGGGGAAATTAAGTCCTCCGAAAGCCTGCCAGGTGAATATCGCGCTAGATCCATGCAAGAAGGACAGCAGGGAAAAAAGCTGTGCTTGTTCCTGGCTGAAACACGGAAACATAAGCAGCTTTGAAATTTCCATAAAAGTTTCCCCATCATCTACTTGGTCTCCACCGATCACTCACTATTTCTCCGTCACAGGCAGGCGTGCACAGGGACATGCGCTCGTTCGGAACTCGTTCCTACCGTATCCATCGGGCGCCGCCGCCGACTGCCGGCCAAATAGACCATATCGATTTGATTGGGGTGCATGAACTGGGGAAAAGGCCTCATAATATTAGAAATAATAGGGCAGGGTGAAGGTAGATTTGGTAACTAGTGGTTCGCGATCAGTTGGTAGAAATATGGGCGATGATCGGCTCAGAAGGGGCATATTGCACTTAAGCTAAACGCTTTTGTCAATAGATGTTAAATAGTAGGACCCGCTTTGGTGAGACCTGTGAACCCCTGTGATACTGTGAAAGGGTACGAGTGAGGCAACATGGTAAGAGGGTTTTGCGTGGCTATACAAAGCGGCAAGTGTACGAGCTTAGCTGAGCACCTTCAGAGCCCCCACCAAGCCGAACTGCGCCGAAAAGTAACCTAAATGTTGAAAAGTACAGACCTAACCAGCACATGCAACTTTTCATGAATGCGAAAGAAATTACAGCATAATCAGATCCGGCGCGAGGGAGAAACCCGAAAACCTTACAACTCACCGGTCCTCACCCACTGTGAAAGCCCTTACCCTCCTCGTCCATAACGAGAATTTCGCCAACGATGGAGGGGTATTACCTCGAAATCGCTGAAAAGGGGATCGCATTTAGGGGAATTTGCTCTGAGGGGAACTATACTCCCTCATTCCTCTATTGGCGACGGAGCTTTCCCCGGAAAGTCAGAAGTGAAAGGAAGGAAAGAGGTGAAATGGAATTCGGTGTATCGTAAATGAGGCGAGGTTGAGGAAGATTGTTCTGAGCTTTCAATTTCCCTCACAGCCTTTCCTGGGCCCTGTCCTCCATAGCCGTGGTAATGCCACAGAGCCCAGAACAAAGATTACACAACCGTCATTTTTCATTACCCGTGAGTACATGAAGTCGTTTTCAAATGTTGAGTAGCGTATTTTCAGGTGTGGTTCAAAAATCGTCGTGCAAAAGCTCGCCAGCAGAAAAAGTCCCAGCAGAACAGTTCCGGTGGCAGTAGCGGCTCCTCATCTACTGAGGGCAACAATTCAACCACCGATGGTGATGTAACTGTGAGTAATACTTCAAAACCCCTGAAAATGTACGCGAAGCCAGAGACGAGGGGTAAATCGTGTCAATTTTAGATCAAATCCGAAGAGCCGGGTGAGTCGACGTTGAGCGAGAACTCGCAGAGCCCATGTCCTGACGAGAAGACAGCTCCGGCCAGCTATCTGAGCAGCAACGCTTCGCCAAACAACTACGCAGCCGCATCGTTCCGACCACAAGCGCAATACACTTACGGTGAGTATCGATCAATCGAGTCCTGATAGGATATCACCTATCAATTTGTTCACTTCAAAGTCAAGACTAACTGAACAAATGAGATACCAGAACTTAGGCGATCTGTAAGGGATCTGAGTTGTTAGTACTGATAGACGGGCTCGTCAGCAAGCGTAAAGAGCGCCATGAGCCCCAATCGAGCCCAGATATCAACTGATCCCTAACCAAGTTCTCCTGACCCTCTCAAGAAAGTTCAGCATTTGCCATAGCGCTAGCTTAGCTACCCTTGAAAATATTGGATCAAAATGGGTCAAGGGTGGGGGCTCCGATCGCCTCACTCTGCGCAAGTTGTGATCACACAAAGCCCCTGAGCCAGAGCTGCTTTCCGAGAAAGAATACAGCAAATCTGGAATTGCTTAGGGGGTGCTTAATCTACAGTCTTGTTCGCCTGGCGGACCAAGTATGTGTTCCGAGGAGCTGCTAGTTTGGCTTGGCACGCCAGCTTCTTTACACGCACTGCGTTGGAAGCTACCGAGGCGAGCTACAGTTGGGCGGAGAACAGGCTGGCGCTGAGCGAAACCTATACGCCTGGCACGTCCCTACATCCGCAGCGAACAAATCTGATGGTCAATGTTCCTGCGAGGTCGTCAGAAAAAAACGTTCCCATGGAATTGTTCCCGCTGGCAAGCCGTTTGTCCCCTCTGCATGTGCAAGTGCGGCTAGGTTGGTCGCAAGTTGCCAATGAGCGCAAAACATGAAACGGGGCGATTTCTAGTTAGTTTGACTCAGACCGCTGTAAGCGTCGTGTGAAGATCAATTAGGATCTGGAACGAATTGCAGCGTCCGCAAGCACCGCGTCGTATCTGGCCATTGCTAACAACAGCGTGTTTCGATTCGAGATTCTCTTGCGCAATTCTCGTGTGAATGGCGCGTACATGCCGTTTCGTGGACGCAAACCTGTAGGGGTTTAGGTGACGGAACATCACACAATTTGCCGCGCTGGGCGTGGCGAGCGACGCCGCGCACGCTAGAGACGAGTTGGCGTACTGCCCGGACTTTCGAATCTGAAAGTTAGAGGGACGGGGAAAATTGTTGCCACGTGAAATGGATTCTTGCCTCCGTTTGAATTCCCGTGAGTATTGCTGCTCCAATCGACAAGCTGATGTACATCAAGAACATGCTGCGCACCGCCGCACGATGCACCGCACGCGACCGCGCGGCAAGTTTCGGTTGTCTTGTCCGTACGTTCTACGGTAGTGTTCGTCGCGCTGTAGCAACCAATCAATTGAGAAGATTCCAGCATCTTTAAGGGAGAGTTTCCCATAAGATGCTGTCTTACAAAGAATCTTCAGTCGTATAAACAACTCTTACTGCCTTTGGAGCAATCGATATATCGATTTTTTTTCAGCAAACTACCAAAGTCCCATGGATTACTTTCAATACACTCAACCTACGGCTGCAACCAGCACCAATCCGTATGGAATGGAGACATGGAAATTCCAGCCAATGGGTTGAACCATTCAACACTAAACTATTGATTTATTGATCGTTCCCAAAATATCGTTGGTTGCAATCGATTTAACCGGGGTCTGCGTCTCCTCGCTCGTCGCTCCGTCTCTTTCATTGCTTCATCGTCACAATGATAGATACAGTTATCAGTTTATCACATTCTATCAGTAACATGATGATCATACAAAAGCGGTTATCGATTGGTTCTTTACCAATCTCAGTCTATCTTTCGGTAAATACACCGAAAATCTACCAGTGACCCCGTATACGCAAAATGTGATTCCTTTTCTTCGCTCGTTGTCGATTATTGATTTATTGATTTAACAACTCCTTCAAAAATTGAGGATACGTCGAAACGTTGTATTGCTTAGCTGTACTCTATTGCTACGTTGATATCATTCCTCCATTCGAAGTCATGCTCGGACAGAGAATCAATACATATCTTTTCTGTGGCATTAATGATATCAACCTATTTTTCGAGTACGGCCACTTTGCAGTCTTTTTTTTACAAAAAAATCCAGCGGGCTTTTGGCCGATGTCTAATCTTTACATTGAGATTTTCATTCGTCAAAGAGTAACGTAGTAATGAATATATTAGTATTTTTTAAATTAAAAAATGAAATTGAGATTTTCTCCCGAACTAGTTACATAGAGGTATTCGTCGTTCTCGTCAGGCTAGACTTTTATCTATATATATTTTGTGATTCACCCCCATACATACACACGTTGTTGTACATTGTACGTTACTACGAGAAATACAAATTCGTAAGCTTTATTCGTCTAAATTTAAAAAATTAAATTGCAAATGTTTTCATTTTGTTGATTTCTCGATCGTAGCTGTGCTCATGTTAATAGAATAAAAAGTGATTGTGCACTATTGAAGGGCTTTTTTGTATATTCAAATAAAGCGTATTGATTGCTCTTTGTTATACCACTCTTCAAGAGAGGGAGGGCTCTCTCATCCGGCTGTTTGGCCTGGAGGGGGCATTTTGCACATTCACATTCGCTGGTTTCCTTTTTGGCTCGTGTTAACTAACAGGTCTCACTCTGTTCAGACGTGTAAACAATTCGTGTGAGGCTGCAAAGGTGTTCGAGCGGAGCCACATAGGTCACAGAATTTATAGGTTTTCGCAAGCCTGCAGAAGCTCAGCTGAGTACCATCCGATGCCTCCACCATGCCAAAGTGCGTTCAGTGAAGGCCTATCCCACAGAGCGGAATCTGATGTCAGGCACATGGGTAGAGTGCCTACTCGTTTTCAGGAAGGATTCAGCAGCGACGTATCAATGAAGTAAGCCTGGGACCGCCCGCATAACCACCGCGGAACAATTCATTACACTCGAGCGTTTCTGATAGTAACAGACAAACATCTGTCTTGCCTGAAAGCAAAGCATCGCTTAATACAGAGGGAATATAACGAG